GGATTATTCAAAATAGTCGAATGGTTAACAAAACGGTCGAAATGTTTGAATCCACAATAGAAGTCTGTCGATATGATCTCAGTGCAGACACAAAAGGCACCTGGCATTTAGTTAAGTTACACTGAATCACCGAATCAAATAAATCAGTGGACGATAGCAATTATTGCTAGGATGACAATCTGCCTGAACAGCACAAAGGTATATCAACTCACGCAAAGAAAAAGAAATTGAAACCCTTTTTGCGAGACGAATGCATAGGGTTAACTGGGCCATGTTCGATGAACAATCATCTGTCTGCAGGTCGTCTATCAAGCTTTCGCGCTCCAACACCTGCCTCAGTGACAATGAGTAGCGGAACTTTCTAATTAGATCAGAACATAGCGAGCTCTTATTTGGGGACTGTTGGGGAGATTAAGTGCTCTTTATCCAAGTAGATCATCGTTCATGATTTTTGAAGTACGTACGTGTTTATATACATCTATTAACTTTATTCCACGGCATTTTTTTCCATCCACAAAGGTCTCTAATGGTATGCAACACTAAAATATTATTTCAGTTATTTACTGCATGCAGAGTGTCCTAATAACTTTATGGAACGGCTGGGCAGCTATTGAGGACTTCTGTATGCACTATGTATAGTCTTTATATGACCAACGACCAGCAGTCCTATTCGTTTAAAGTATGCACCTTAACCAGTAACATACAGAGCAATTAGGACCACGGTGATCCATTTCTGATTCTACTGAAACGTTGGGAAGATTTTATGCCTGATCTTTTATATATGTTGATGCTCGCTCTCTCACGTTAATTTTTAAAACACGCGATTGCAGATGCTATAAGCGCTGCTTTTCTAGGTGGCAATTGAAGTCAAGAAAAACAGTTTCCAGTACCTGCCTTTAAACAGACGTTTTGAATTCATGGCATGGCGCTGATGGATGCAGAACTCTGTCATCTCTTCTTATGCCTATATGTAATGGTACAGCATACAACAGAATCGTATAGCAACAGCAGTACGTTTTTTTGCCGACCCACGGAGTTATAGATTGGATGCCAATATGCTAATGATCTATATATTTATGAGGCAATGTTTCGCAATGGTACTTGGCTTGTCTATGCGACTCATGCTTCAAAATGGGTAAGAAAAATGAAAGGCAGTGTTTCCGCCCGGGATCGAACCGAGGACCTTGCGCGTGTGAGGCGCACGTGATAACCACTACACCACGGAAACCCATTGGGAAGCAACGTTCACAGTCGCGGGTTGATCAGGGAATCTGTATACACCCATGTTCTCACCACAACATAGTTTTTCATTAATTAACTACAATTAATAGGCATCGCTGTGCAATCCAATTGTCCTGGATCGTGTTATTCATTCAAAAAGGTATCACACAACACCTGCTAGAAACATTTCATCAACGTTGCCGTTCGGGTCCTTTTTATCACAGAGAGAGGATCGCGCGCGGTTAGACCTTTGTGTACCTCCGCTGCCGCCATCAAAGATGGCGGCCCCCATAGGCTCTACGAACACAGGTTTGACACCGAAGCAACGCACATTTAATTTCTTTGGTGCTTTGGCAAAAGAGTAGAAAAGGTAAACACAGTGTCGTTATTTGTGAAGTGGTCATGCCCATGAGATTTTTCAGCTCTCGCGAAACACACTCCTGACCTTAACTATGGCCGATGATGACCGGTGAGTAACTGAGCTCCGTTCGATACCTTTTTTTAGGATAGATGTTCCACCAATGTTTCAGCTTACCAATGCTCAATAATCGACAGCAGAAAATGTTAGTGCTTGGAACTATCGGCGGAGTCCGGTTATTGGTCGATTTTGAATTTCTCTAGCCCTGCTGTAAGTAGCGAAAAAGGTGCCCTCTTGATTTTCGAGGCAGCGTTGACATTTTTATATTGCCAAAATTAAAAAGTATAGTATCTCACACAAATTTCTTGCACCGGTTAAATTAGAACGAATAAACCAGTTGCAGTTTCACTTCGTCTTGATATTTAAAGGAACACGTGCATTTAATTCATATATTGAATTCTATATGCCCACTATCGTTTGCTCGAGCTACGAAAAAAAAAAATCAGTTTTACGTATTTCATTTTATCTTTGCCAAGTTTCTATATTGAGAGTGGCGGAAGGCGAAAGAATCAAACGCGTTCTTGGGAAATTTTCAATGCAAACTGGTGTTTTCGCTAACCACTCCATCTACTTGGGATCAGCTTATTGTGCCAACTTATCGTCTGCGTTATCTGAGTGTATCTGTGTGTTTTAAGTAACTTTCCTTTTGTAGTTTTATATAACCTAGTCCACTTATGTTTTAGTATTTGTATTACACGGCGATGTAACATAGATTTCCTTTTCTGTTGCTTTACGAATTCTCGGCGCCCGAAAATATTTGCCCTCGGGTTAATAATTGTCGCTTGCTTGAAACGAACGCTGTACATTGATTGGAGTTTCCTGTTTGGATATAACAGAAATGTTCTACTATTTCTCCCGAATATACGATGCCAATCGTGTATCTTATACGTTATAGAAAAACCTTTTTCTCACTGATCATGACTATGTTCTTTTAACAGCTATAATGTAATAGATCAAATGAAAGCCTTGCTATACGCTAGTTCATCAACCATTGACAAGCTTCCTACGTAGGATTCGACTGTATCACGGTGTGTAGTTCAGTTTTAGCGAGCACCAACAAAGTGAACCTGAGGTATTCAAAATTGTAACCAGTCATTTTTTTCATGACATTTAGCTCGGTTTACATGTAAGCTAAATTGTGCGTTTTAAGCACTTTTTTCATCGTGACTTCTGCTTTATGTAAGAACATTAAAAAAAAAACACAGAGGTAAAAACGCTATATAGACTCTTAGATTTCATTTATTTTTTCTCCTGACATGCTTAGAATGATTAATTCCCTACTACAATGTAGGGGGCAGGTTCCATATCACTCATTCAGTATAACCATTTGTGCTTCCAAACAATCATTTATTTTGTGCGAAAAGCGCTCTGCGACCATTTGCGTTTAGCTACAGCTATTGAGAATCGATTTCCGGTACAGATGGCTCACCTACACAATTGCAAGTTTCAAATGGTGAAAGCAGAAAATGCTAGTTGGTACGATATCTATGCGAGCGTACCTATGATCGACTAACCTTATAGACAGCCAGAAATAGCAATTTCTGGCTGGGTGAAAGTGTCCATCCATTTTGGCCACCAAAGCTCTAGTTGTGGCAATCGCTGCGGCCGTGCGTTGATTTCATGTTGTTTGGTTATTCTTCTATTCCGCGTTAGTTCTGGGGAAGGTACTGGACAAGGGGTAACGAAATATTAGGTCCCCAGGAAATATCAATGAAAACAACGCGTCATAATATGCTCTTGATCAGCCAATGTACTTGACCCTTTATAAACATGCGTATCTGAAGCTCGGATGTTTAAACAACTTACTATGGCATTCAATACTTGAACCACATCGTACGGACGTATATTTTGCCAGATACGCCGGCATGTTTTAAGGTTGGAACGGCCACGGTAAAAGTCCTGCATATCGTACAGGTTATTGATAAATATGTGCCTCTGCAATACTACAAAACCAAGAAGCGTAATAACTTGTGGTACGAAACATTTTCGTAGAAAAGCGGAAACTTTACGTTATATATCTTATAGCTCCACTAGATGCGTCAGTCGTTAACCTAATGGAGAAAAGTCAACCACCTGGCAACAACAAAGCCAGGCCTGTAAGAATAGTAATAATAATATTAAAGATTTAAAGCTAATTTATGAAAGGCTGACCATATTTAATTGTATATATGTAGAAAGAGCGAACTATGAGTCAAGACATTTCGATGTCGCTATCAAACTATTTTTTGTCATTGTTTTTTGGTCTGCACAAGGATTTACTAGAGTCCCTCCCGGTTTTCCTGAATATAACCTGGCTGAGAACGTAGAAATAAACACGGATTGATTTTAAAACAGTAGAAGGGGCTACAGTTGCAAAAACTTTGATAATTACTCTATTAAACAGTGGCAAATGAGTTACACCGCATAAATTGCACGTGAAGATACGAGTATTTGCGCACTGTTTCCATTATTTCTATGCGGGCCGCCGGCTTATTATTCCTTGATCCATCAATACCCTTCCCCGAAAAATGAAACCTTTGTAGCTACGAGACCCTTGTAGTGTATTCGCTACTGAGTGCATTTTACTTTGATTTCTGTTTTACACCGTTACAGTTATGTAACTTACAGTATTAGGTAGAAGAAGCATGCATTTGTTGGAAGGTGTTGTTACGCCTCACTCAACTCAGAGGTTGCAAGATGGACCAAGATTAGCATTGTCGATCGGGGTTATCCACAGCTGCTTGCTGTGCGATACACTTTCATTTATATTGATAGAGCCTCCATTTGAATGAACCTATGTTATAGGATATATATGTTATAGGCGGTAGAATAATCTATGTAATCTTTTTAATTACCTTAAAATCGAATTTGGACGGAACTGCTCATAAGATTATAGAATTTCATATTATGAAGTCGTTAACAGATCAGTAGGTTATAATATGGGTAATAATCTTTCAGACCTCAGATTAATTAGGTTGAGAAAAACTTGAACAAAGTCATATGAGAATATACTTTTTCTTTACATATATTCCTTTTGAGTACAAATATTTTGTGAAGACACAGAATGAAAATTGTTCTGTTCCGTAGTTGCGCGAACGACATTAGCCTGTGATTATTCGTGTTTAATAAATCGCAATATATTTTACCCATTGTAATTGTAGGTTGGTTCGACTGCAGATTTGTTTCTATCCAAGCCTCGTATTCCATTTAAAAAGCAGCTATGATACACTTCCAATTCAGTACAAAGTGTAACTCTCATGGTCCTATATGTGCACTGGTGAGAGCGGGCCGTTTATTCGAAATCTTCCCGCGGGTAGCAGACGACAGTATCCCGATGTTTGGCAACACGAAGTGCATGCTTTGTCCGGTCACCCGATAGCTCATTTATTAAGAGGTGGACGATGATCTGTGCGTGAATTATTTGATAGCGCAGCTGTTGAGGTTTGTAGGGATCGCAATCGATTCTTTTAATGTTTCTTTTTTTATGAGAATGACGTCAGAGCACAACCTGTGTCAATAAATGAAAAACCAGTGCAATTGCAGTCATCGGTGGCATTTGTACTCAAACGATTGGATTAATTCAACTTTTGCCGCAGTTTCATAATCATGTGAATCGTAAACGCTGCTGGTGTCCGTGGATAGCCAGCAATGGTTACTACGCTGTTTCTACGATATGTCTTACACGCTGGAGCTGTAAGGTACCGCAATCAACGTAGACTATGTTCCCTTCCTCTAGCACTTCGTTCGCTTAAAGGCAAATCGCTGCACGAACGTCCAAGTTATTTTGTCGACTGGAAACGAATACAAACGGTGGGCGGCAATGGTGGAGATGGGTGCATTGCTTTCCTGCAGCTGTTTTGCAACCCCAACGCAGGTCCAGCAGGAGGCGACGGCGGCCATGGCGGACATGTACTGCTTCGTTCGGAGTCTGATGTGAAGTCACTTGAAAATGTTCCATCAACGCCTATTAACGGCTTTGATGGCCAACCTGGTCTCGGCAAAGAGTGCCACGGAGCGCGCGGCGAACACGTCTTCATACCCGTACCTCTCGGAACCGTGGTAAAAGATAGAACCGGCAAGGTACTAGCCGACCTTGACGCGCCTGGTCTACTGTTTCTTGCCTCGCGTGGCGGTGCCGGAGGCAGGGGCAATAAATACTATCTAAGTAATGAAAATCGTCATCCGTTTATTTGCCAAAGAGGGGGCAAGGGTGAAGTGAAGACGTACTTTCTTGAAATGAAGTCTATGGCACATGCCGGTCTCATTGGTTTTCCAAATGCCGGCAAGAGTACGCTCCTCCAGGCTATATCGCGTGCGAAGCCCAAGGTGGCATCCTACCCGTTTACGACGTTAAAACCTCATCTTGGCGTCATTGATTTCGAGGACTACGAACAGGTGTCCGTTGCAGATCTACCTGGAATTATTGAAGGCGCTGCAAGTCACAACAGGGGATTGGGAATTGAATTTCTCCGTCACGCAGATAGGTGCGGCTGTCTCGTCTATGTGATCGATGTCAGTCAGGAGACATACACTGAACAGCTAAATGTGCTTTGTAGGGAGCTTGAAATTTACAAGAAGGGGTTCTCTAAAAAGATGTCATTGATTGTCGCTAACAAGATAGATCTTGTCGAAAAAATCGTGCTTGATGAACGACTACAAACTTTAGGTCGCATGCTGAAAATACCCGTAGTACCAATAAGCGCTAAATTTGGAACAAATATATCTGCTATGGTTAAATATCTTCGAATTACATATGAGAAGTCGAAGGAGAAAGCAAAGGGAATTTAGGCTGGCTCCGTTCGTTGTTGAAATATTTGTACACTTATATACATCTTTTAATTAAGCAAATACGTAATGCCCACTGATGAGTGTTGAATAAATAGTTGTTGTATTTGAACTACTATGTTTTCGTGTGCAACTGATTTATAGTATATTCTTTATAATATTTCCTATCAAAGTTAATGTGTAAATCCAGTATGTGCAGACCAGACATCACTTTTAGGTATCTGTCAAAGTGTTTTAGACGACACCCCCTAAGCGCAACACCCGTTAAAGTTATACACTTTATGTCCGGTATTGCATTGATGTTTGTTTAAATACTATTTCGACCTTCACTAGGTTATCGAATTGGCACTTATGCAACGATCGGAGTTAATCTAGTTTTCTTGGTAATTCTCGTTGCCATGTGTTTTTCTCACAGGCGTTGTGACTTTTATCACGCTCCATAGTAATTACCTTCCATGGTTTCAACCCTAATAGTGACTGTGGGTAAACTCACCAATGGTATAATCTCTCTCAAGATTTGCTTAAGCTGCCCGCTGAGAATAGCGGAGAAAACATGAATCTGCCAAAAACAAACATACGGGGTATTATTACTTATGTGCCTTGCATACAGTACCTGGGATGCACGAACTCAAAAAATAACATTAGATTCCTGCTGTCTGCTTCGTTTCCCCAGAAATGCTTCCATTAATTGATCGATCGAAACTAGAAATAAGAATTTGAAATTATTTAATTACGAGCCCAACGATGTATGGTCCTGTACTGTCAATTTTTTTTCTGGTGCTTGGTAGGTAGGTCGCAAATGTATCGTTTAAATTTATACCCATCTATGTACGTGTAAAGAAAAAGCTTGAAGGAACAGCAAAACCTATTGGCTATGCAGAAGACTGTAGAAGATAAGCAGTTTCTTTCTCTTTAAATATATATGCATGTGGTTCAGAAAGAGTAGGACGGGAAATAGTTATGATCGAACCAGCTTTAATTTTGCTTTTCTGTATCAAGCCTTTTTTCTTAACTCAAAAAATTTTCACATAGCGGTGGTGAAAAGGATTTACCGTATGCAGATATTATTCGTTTGGGTGGCAGAGGGTCGTTATAAAACGTAGACCTCTTTACATAGAAAAAGAAGCACGATTCTATTAAATTATTCGCACATAGCGTTGATCCCTTGTTATAAAATTCTTTGAACCGCACCCTACATAAGAATCTCCGATATTACTTGGCCATTATTACCTGAGTAAATGCAGTCATAAGGAATTGATTTGGAAGTTTTTCTTTTGGTATTTTTCTCTATCTTTATTCTGTGTCACCTACGAGTATTACACGTGGTATCAATTTTTGCACTGACAGCCTAGAGACTAGATCTTGAGATTAACAAAAATTTAAATATAAACCAGGGATAAACACTTAATAGGCACTGAAAATTTCATCTAAAAGAAATTAAAATCATGCTTACCTTGCGTCCGGTTTAGCCGGTACAAATCTCGTAAAATTCATGATATTGCAATCAACTATAGCAGCATATTATTTTGCAACTTTAATGCGATTCTCAAATTCACCGCCTTCACACTCTGACCATAGCAAGATTCAACATTCACATATGCGTATTTATTATTTATATTAAAAATCCATTGTTTCACATATCATATTGTCGATGCTTCATCGTTTTTACTTCGCATTCATGCAGTACATAACTGCTGTGCAGCACCAGGAAATTGCGATAAACGGTGTATTGTTTGGTGGCTCGCTGATTTTTTGTTGGTTAGTCACCGTAGGCGATGCCCAGCGTTTTCTTGTTGCTATTTGGCTTGGCCTGCTCCTGTTGTTGCTATTAGCTAAACGGCCGCTGTAGGCCTGGATCTAGGAGATCCGGAGCGCGCTGTTCCCATGCGTGACAAGGTTGAAGGAGACAGAGACGAAAGAGAACGCTGAGTACGACTTTCTATGATGGTCTTTTGGCAATAGCTAGCATTAGATAGTGTCGGGTAGGCGGTCTAACAAGAACGACGGCGAGACGATACCGACGGCTTTTTCAGGGGGTTGCTGCATGGGTTGAGACGGTTAAGCTCAACGAAGCGCAGGCAGAAGGGTGGACAGTTTCTTCCAAGGAGTTAAATGTAAATCTGTACCCGCTGCAAGTCAGCGCTTTTCCTTTGACTCCTTTTTTGTCTTTTTTTTCGCTGCTTTCGTTTCGAAGAACGACGGCAGAGGGAGCGCCGTCTGCGCGCCCGTGTCGAGATGTCGAATACCCCGACCCCCTAAGCCCCCAGGAACGACGGGTGGGCAAGTGAGCATCCGGGCATTCTGAACGGAGGAAAAGCTCTTTCTCTCCAAGCTGTCTCCGCCGGTACTCTTATTTCCCCCATTTTGCTGTGTGTGCAATTTACAATAAGGAGGTGGGTGGTGTGTAAGCGAGAGAAAGAAACAGTGAAAAAGGGCCCGACACACCGAGAGTTGCGTGGGTGGCCCAAAAAGAGCAGAAGCAAAGCAGAGCAACGGAGGAAATAGCGAATGAAGTAGATCGAAGGGAAATGATGAGGGGAATGGATAGAGGACGGAGGGATGCATTAGGATGTCTAGAAGAAGTTCACAGCACTCCCGCCAGCACCTCTTTCCCGCGCTGGTGTTGCGTACAAGGTCGAAGTGGCGGCAGCTGGCGGCCGGTAGCTGCTGGGTGGAAACGAAGTGTATTTTGGGCAAGAGAGTGGAACCGGGATTGAGATAGCCCAAACGAACAGAGGACGCCAAAAAGAAGGAATGACGCGACACTGCAGAGCTGCAGGGGATCATGTATGGAGAAACGAAGAGAAGTGGAACGGAGTACGGAAAATAGAAGAAGAAGAAAACAGCGGTGAATTATACATGAGTTGGCGCAGTGAACGTTTTTATTGGTTAGACCTGAACCCTAAAGGCCCCGCACAGCGCCGTTGGCTAGATATATGGGCTTGATAGTAGCGGGTAAAAGAAGTATTAGGGAGCGGAGACCGTTGTGCCAGAGGCCATTGCTTAGTTGGGTCGGAAACCGATCGAGACTAAGCAAGATTGGTCTTTGTCGAATCGAGGACCAGCATTCGAGGATGGCCTAAGCAGTTGGTCGGAGAGGGACTGAGGGGAGCCCATAGCCAAGGGTTATAATAGTGGCTGCTGCTGCTATTGTTGTCACTCGTACTTTTACCACTGGTAGGCGGAACGGACGAGGTGCAGAAACTATTTCTCCTTTGTCCCTTTCTTTGTAGTAATAGTTCATAGTGCCTGGTGCACCTCTGTTGCTTTGCTCCTCTGGCCAGATCCTCTCTCTCGCTCTTTCTCCTCCCTTTTGCGCTCTGATCTGCTTGCTCAACTTGCCGGCAAATCCAGAAAGTTGGGGTAGTCGGCTAAGACCGGCAGGTAGGCGTTCTAGGCGGGGGATGGATGGTTGTTGAGTTGATCTGGCCGTCGCCGCAGGCGAAAGACACAGAGGTCGTCTAAGAAGTGTACGGGGCTAAACGTGGGATAAAAGCATACAGTTTGGGGTGCGACCGAAGTGGTAATGCGCTGTGGCGTGCAGCTGCCGGCACCTACGAAACCACTGCACGGCCACGTTTGTCGTAAGGATGATTTTCTTTGTCAGTGTTGTGTTGTTGTTGACATTGTTGTTATTGTTATTGCTTCTGTAGCAATCGCTGTCATTGTTGTTGCTGTTGTCGCCGCCAGTGATGCTAATGCAGGCCTCAACGAAGTCTGAAGAGAACAATAAAAGTGCTAGTCTAAGCACCGAAGCCGACTACCTGCTGCCTCTGACATAGTACCAGTGTCTGGATAGGCAACTAGGCGAGCGTTTTTAGTCCGGACCGTCTTTCGACTACCAAAAGGAAGAAAGAAAGAGTGAAGAAAAGCACAGAGCTCGATGAGTGCCGGGACGAAGTAAAAGAAACTAGGCTAGTGGCAGGAACGAGGGCACTTTATTTGTTTGTCATAAGCAGAGAGATATAGCTCCGGAAGAGAAGAGTATGGAAAGCAATAGAGTAAGAAAGGGCAAGCTTGGTTCCTGGCAGCCAAACCGACAAAGCGGCGAAGCCAGTGCCGGATGAAACTGATGGAGAAAGTGAAAGAGCCCTCCGCTTTAGCCAGGCCGAACCAGTGTCGAATGGCCAATGATTGTCGTGCTGGTGGAGCTTGGATTGATTGGAAATACTTTGATTGTGTTGACAAAGATTATTGAGGCGGGAGACATTTAGAAGACTAGAAGGGAGGTACGCCGAGCCGACGACGCAGCGAAGAGACGAGCACTGATGGTAGAAGTAGATTAATGGCTATGTTGCGTTGATAAATGGAGTCGATGACAGATCTGATGAGGGTGCGAATTTGGAAGATACAATAGTACAGTGGAGACGCATGGCAGAAGATAGAGTACTAATGTTGTTGTGCACAACGTCACAACTATTAGTTATTAAAATTTGGTGGTAGCCATTACAAATGATCATTTAGATATCGAATGAAATGTTGGCAATCACAAATCATCTGCAAACCGAATGACTCCATGATTCGTATGTCTACATTATAGATCAATGATACTATAGTTTTGACGGTCCGGACCATAGACTGGCTGCATATAAATATTATGTCAACGCACCTCTAAATCGAATAAGTGAAGCATTACGCTATCTTTGAACTCTTTGACTAAAAATTGGTTGCTATCTTGAACATATCATAATGTCGTTATATATTTTATAGAACAAGAAAAAGGCAACCAATGAATCCGAAATATTTTAATTGAGCCCCACATAGGTTGAATATTTCGCACTCTTGCGGTTTGCTTGATGCTGAACTTGATCAGTGACAGATCTAAGTAGTAATTCTGAACTAGTACCTTCTCACAAAAAGGTCTACGAAAAATAACCATGTCTAATTCGGGAAAACTACACTCGGTTGTCACCTATATTAGGTACACCAAAGACTAATAGCGATTTTTTCGCCTAACACGACATTTCACTTAAATTATAACAACAAATTAATTTATTATTATTTATTTTACTTATATTATTTATTACCATGTATTAGTTTATTCTCAACCAATTTATTCCGTAAATTTTTATTCCGTAGCCATTTATATATTACGACAATTACGAATGCTAT